CCGGGGCCTGTGGGTGAAACCGCTGTGTAAACACCGCGGTTCGGCAAACAGGACGTTCAGCTATCTAGAACACTTAGCACTTGCTTGTGATTAACATTTTTGGGAACCTTGCCTAACTGATGCACTGGTTAAAGATGTGCCTGACCTCAGCGTGATTGTGCAGCGCCTGCAGCAGGGACACCCCATACTGGTACAGCAGGACCTCCCGCGCGTTCAGGCAGTCTGGGCTCAGGGGAACCAGCTCTCCTTCACACTCCCACTGGGCGTCCAGCAGATCGATGAAGGGCTGCCTTCCGCCTGCAACATGCAGCCATAATCTTACACCTGCTCTTATTTACACTTTCACATCGACAACCACAACTAACCATGTGATTCTCCCGATTATTTTAACTTTAGTTGTTCAAACATCAAATAATCTATGTTTTTCCGATCAGTTTTTTTTTTTTTACATTTTTTGAAAGCCTCGTACTGTCAGATAGATCCTCTTTCTGGGGAAAACATAGTTCCCCTTATTACTACGGTATCAAGGAAAAAAGTGGCAGCTTTGTTAAATCACAGTAGCTGTAAAAGTCACCACATCCACTCACTGATCCCCAACCCGGCAGACAATGAGGATCCCGATACTGTCATCGGCCTGAGGCCACAAACAGCTGGATCTGTTCCCTGCAGTACTGATGAAGTCACTGCCATTCAGGACCAGTTACTAATTAAAAAATGTCAATAATTTTCTAACATGATTATTTTAATTTCACAAAATAGTTTGAATTGCCTTCCTTTCCTTTTGTGGTTTTTGCCAATCAATTACTACACATAAGCATAAATCCATTGCACATTTCTTTTTGTTTTAATTTGAATGTTTAGAGTTAAATTTCACAGTGGTGTCTCTGGCACAGAAAGCCCTGTGGGGCCCGGTACATTCTTTAATCATCAATATAACTACACAGAAACCTAAAATGAAATACAGCTTTTATTCAATTGTCAACTTGATTCATTATTGCCTTGTAGTTAGTAGTGGCTAACATAACTGTGATGACAGTTAACATAACTGTGATGACAGTTAACATAACTGTGATGACAGTTAACATAACTGTGATGACTAACAATCGGCAAGGCCAATACCGTGTATGACGTTTACTAAAAGTTCTTCATGACTGACGTTCTGTTATTTTTTATTTTCTGCTTTCAGTGTGGGGCCAACGTGATCACACCTAACAGTTGAACATGTGCACATTGTTTTCAGTTGCTCACTTGATTAAGATTCTTTACGTTTGTTTACATTGGGCTAGAAATGTGTGGGAGACAATGAGCCCTATTTTCCTCTGACACAAAGTGCAACGCAAAGTGGTTTTGCTCGTTTTGCACCAGTGCATTGCTCATTTGCACGCCATGCCAGCACGTCAAATGTGATTTTGTGCCCACTTTCCACTGGAAATGATCAAAATTGCTGAAAAAGCATTTCAGATATTTAGATAAGTCAGGTGGAATATTACAGTACATCCCTCAAAGGTCACTGCATTCTTTTTGGCATGTTGTGTGTGGTGTAACATTGCCATGCGTGATGGATGTCTGTTGGACATAAAAGAGGACATATTAGAGGACTTTGTAAGGCGTGATGCTGAACTGCATGTGCCGATGCCAACAATGGAATGTACGCTGGCAGCAGCGCGGGCAAGGAGGGATCAGCTGGCAAAAGAGCTGAATCGTCTGCAGCCTGGTAAGGAATATAAATTGTGAGATATAGAAAAATAACAGCCCTATTGCCTTTTATTTGAACATTTCAAAACACCTTAAAAACTGTAGGTTGTTTGAAGAAAGATTGAACTTTTATTTAAATTTTGTGAACTGCAGATCAAAATTTAAATTAAAAAAACACACAAGCATGATTATGTCCCCGTTCCCAGCCGCTGCTCTCGTTCAGCAGCGAGCTTCTGACTTCCCCGTCTTCTGGCACCATAAAACCGCTTTTGACGCTGCATGGATGATCTGACGATGCCAGAAAATGGGGACACACTGGCTGCTACCCCATCCCACACCTGCTTCACCTCTAAAGGCGCTTAAATGCAACAGTGGTGACCCGCTTGTGCATTTTCACCTAGTGCACATGCATGTCCATTTCCTCAATCGAAAAGCAGTCTAGCTTGCCAGGCAAACGCAAGGTGAGGTGTCACGCCATTGTAAAGGCAATCTGCCATAGATCTTGTGCCGCTCCCTCTTAAAGGTGAGGTGTCACGCCATTGTAAAGGCAATCTGCCATAGATCATGCGCCGCTCCCTTTTAAAGGTGAGGTGACGCGCCACTGTAAAGGCAATCTGCCGTAGATCATGCGCCGCTCCCTCTTAAAGGTGAGGTGACGCGCCATTCCAATTAGTTCATTGCATGTTATGCCCAAAATACGCCTCAGAATGATTAAGAGAGTTAGGACAACCTTTTTCCGCCTTACGCTCTCGTAGAGTCTGGTTCTTCTTGTGACGAATGCTGACAGGCCAGTCCATGCTCACCAGACAAAGACTGCCATGAGAAGAACTGACCTTTACGCCACAGGTACAGGAAGATATTTGGAATGTGACGGACAGTGCTGCCATTGTCATATGCAATAACTGCACAACAATGTTAGCTAACAAAGAACAAACATACATCACCTGTTACACTGACTTATTGGTCATGTCGCACACTGCTCCGTGTGACATCTGGTGGGGACAAATTTGCTAACATATTTGGCTTAAAAGTGCTGAAATTCAGGCTTTCAGGTACAGTTTGCAGTTGCTTGTAGGGTGTGCTGATGTAAAGGAGAAGCCGCACCTGTGCTGTGGGAGCCGCGACAACCTCCCAAGATGCCCTTCTCCACAGCCAGGCTCCTCAGCTGCTCCTCCAGGCTCCTCAGCTGCTGGAAGAGTGGAGACAGCGGCAACAGCTCCTCCCAGTCCTGCACTGGGACAGGAGAACCACCACTGTTATAAACCTGGGTGCTAGTCCCTGGAGATCATTCCGCTCTTGACTCCGTGGCAGTGCATCTTAAGATACCGCTGATGGGGAGGTTGGGGCAGTGGGCAAAAGCCAGCAACACACAGCCAGATGCCAAATGAGGTGCTCCAGCAGGACGACTCTGCCCTAACCAGCCCTGTGAACACAGACCCTGACCCCAGACTCACAGAGGACAGCGCTCCAGAACTCCACACTCTACACCAGTGTTTCCCAATCCAGTTCCCGAGACCCACAGTTGGTGTACATTTTTGCTCCCTCCCATCTCCCAATAGGACCGGAAACATTGCTCTACGCCATTCTCTGCACCCATCCCCAACCGCTCTACCCATGCTGCACACAAACACACCCCTCTGGGTACGAATTGGCTGGCTCTCAGTTGCTGGGTCCTTCCCGCACGTGGCCGCCACTGTGTCACTGCAGGTCAGGCTCCCTGACAGCACAACTGTCGGCTGCGTGTTCCCATAAGGCAGCGACAGAGTACGGGTCTCACACTGGGGGGTGATCAAGCCCACTGCAAACTGGCGATTCATGACTCCCAGCTGGCGTGACCTTACACAAGTGCAGGAGCAAAAGTTACCAGCTGAGCAGGCAGGGAAGTAACGTGAGACAGAACTATAGACTGTCCCCAACTTATGACCTGATCGCACATGACTGAAATTTAAATATAAAATAAGTATGGAAAAAAAATTCAGGTGGCCGTACGCCCGGCAGTGCAACCCTTCCTACGACCGCTGCCGCGGGAAAGTACAGTATATGGTACAGTATCACTGATAAATGGTAATAAAAATGATGAGTAATTACAGTGGCGTGCACAAAAATGCCTAAGAAGTCTATGTGGTGTCTGAAATGTATGGTGGCTTCTGACAGTGTATGAGTACCCAGTGACGAGGGGCCATTCAGCCACCCCACCCCCCATTTCAGAACACCACCAAAACCACCCAACCTGACAAGAAGTAAGAAATCGATAGCAATTGGAAAGAAAACAGAACAGTGTGGCCAAGTAATGTTCCGGAAACTATGACTTTTGGTTTCTTCAGCTGTTTTGATTTGGTTAAAGGCTGAAACACAATGTTTTCATGCTTTTTAATTACAATATTATTACATATGTTACATATTATTATCAAGTGTTCTCCCTACCGAGAGAGTATGCATCAATTCTGCTGGTCGCTGTATACATTCCTCCAACAGCAGACACTAGCGATCGGAGGGAGACACTCATTGAACTCTACCAGGCTATCAGTGAACAACAAACAGCAGACATTCCTCATCACAGCAGGATATAAGAACATAAGAACATAAGAAATTTACAAACGAGAGGAGGCCATTCGGCCCATCAAGCTCGTTTGGGGAGAACTTAACTAATAGCTCAGAGCTGTTAAAATCTTATCTAGCTCTGATTTAAAGGAACCCATGGTTTTAGCTTCCACTACACTAGCAGGAAGACTATTCCATACTCTAACTACACGCTGTGTAAAGAAGTGCTTCCTCAAATTTGTTTTAAAATGTTCTCCCGCTAATTTCCACTTATGGCCACGAGTTCTAGTATTTAGACTAATATTGAAATAGTCATTTGGCTGAACAGCATCCAGACCCGTTAGAATCTTATAGACCTGAATCATATCCCCCCTTAGTCTCCTTTGCTCAAGGCTAAACAGATTCAGTTTCGCTAACCTCTCCTCATAAGACATTCCTCTAAGACCAGGAATCATTCTCGTAGCTCTTCGTTGCACCTTTTCTAAAGCAGCAATGTCCTTCTTGAGGTATGGTGACCAAACCTGCACACAGTATTCTAGGTGGGGTCTTACCAAGGAATTATATAAGTGTAACATCACCTCCCTTGACGTAAACTCCACACACCTAGAGATATAACCCAACATTCTGTTGGCCTTTTTTATTGCTTCCCCACACTGGCGAGAGTGGGACATGGAAGCATCAACATACATACCTAGATCTTTCTCATAATCAGCTACCTTTATTTCAGTGGAACCCATAAAATATCTGTACTTTATATTTCTGCTCCCTGCATGGATTACCTTACATTTATCTGTGTTAAATTTCATCTGCCAAGTATCAGCCCATTCGCTAATTAAATCCAGATCCCGTTGAAGCCTCTCTGCTGCTAGATCAGTATCTGCTAAACCGCCCACCTTGGTGTCATCTGCAAATTTAACCAATTTACTGTATGTATTTGTGTCAATATCATTAATGTAAATTAGGAACAATAGTGGTCCTAAAATTGAACCCTGCGGTACCCCACTATGAACGGAGGCCCACTGTGACATTGTGCCTCTAATAACTACTCGCTGCTTCCTGTTTACTTCAACCACGCAGACTTAAAAGCTTTATTACCCAAACTACACCAACATGTGGACTTTCCTACAAGAGGAGATAACTCACTGGATTTAGTGTACACAACCTGCAAGGGTGCCTTTAAGGTCTCCCCCCTCCCCCACCTAGGTCTCTCTGATCACATCACCTGCATACAGAACCAGCAGACCAACACAAAAGCAGGTACGTGTGTGGCCAGAGGGTGCCTCCAGTGCCCTGAGGGACTATCTTATCACTGGGACATTTTTAAACAAGCAGCCACTTACAATGACCACACAGACATTGAGGAGTACGCTGAGGTGCTTACAGCATACATTGCAAAATGTATTGATGATGTCACCCACTGCAAAAATATCACTGTTCGTGCTAATCAGAAGCCATGGCTGACAGGAGAGGTCCACTGGCTTCTGAGGGCTCGTGACGCAGCATTCAGGGCCGGGGACACTGCAGGACTAGCAGTAGCCAGGGCCAACCTGTCCCGCGGCATCAGGGCAAAACGACAGAAAATATCTGGGCACCTCAGCAACACCAGAGATGCTCAGTCTCTGTGGCGTGGCATCCAAACCCTCACGAACTATAACCCCCATCATAGACCTGTGATAGTGATGTCACACTGCTCAACTGCCTAAATGACTGTTTTGCCCGGTTTGAGACACAGATAAGCACTCTGGCACTGAAAACCATCCCCCCCCCCTGGGTGAGCGGGCCATATGTCTGGCCCCAGCCAGTGTAAAGAGAACTCTAGGATCAACCCACGTAAGGCAGCCGGACCAGACAACATACCTGCTCGTGCTCTGAAGGACTGTGCTGAGGAGCTCAAGGTTGTCCTCGCTGATATCTTTAACATCTCCCTGAACCAAGCTGTTATTCCCACATGCTTTAAAGTCACAACTATACTTCCTGTCCCTAAGAAGCTTCTCCCATCCAGCTATAATGACTATCGGCCTGTAGCACTCACCTCCACCATCAGTAAGTGCTTTGAGTGGCTGGGCATGCAGTCCATCCTTCCCCCCTCCCATGGCCCGTTTCAGTTTGCATGCAGGACAAACAGGTCCATAGAGGACGCCATTTCCGCTGCTCTCCATCCAGCCCTCACTCACCTGGAGTCAAAGAACTCCAATGTGAGAATGCTGCTCTTAAATTTCAGTTCAGCGTTCGATACAAACATTCCCCAGCAGCCAATACAGAAACTCAGCCACTTGGGACTCAAAACCTCTCTCTGTAACTGGGTGTTGAACTTTCTTACAGGGAGGCCACAAAATGTCTGGGTCAGTAATAACATCTCTAAGACCATCATGTTGAGCATAGGGGCCCCACAAGGGTGTGTTGAGTACTCAGCCCATTGCTTTTTACCCTGCTGACCCACGATTGCATACCAACCTACAGCTCCAACCACATTGTCAAGTTTGCGGATGATACAACCGTAGTCGGCCTCATCACCAACAATGACGAAGCCAACTACAGGAATGAGTCAACTTCTCCAGTGGTGTAAAGACAACAATCTGTTCCTGAGCGTGGTTGACTTCAGGAGAGGTCATTCACAGCACCCCCCACTGACCATCGACGGTGCAGCTGTGGAGAGAGTGAGTAGCACCAAGTTCCTGGGGACGTACATCTCTGAGGACCTCTCCTGGTCAGACGCCACCACGTCACTGGCCAAGAAAGTTCAAACCCGCCTCTACTCCCTACGCAAACTGAGGAGAGCACGAGTCCCACCCCCCATCATGTGCTCATTCTACCGGGGTACAATCGAGAGCATCCTCACCAGCTGCCTCTCTGGGTATGGAGGCTGCACTGCCTCCTGTAGGAAGGCCCTGGAAAGCATAGTGGATGCAGCCAGCAAGATCATCGGTGCCCCACTGCCTTCCCTCGAGGACATATTCCACACCCGCCTCAAGCGTAGAGCCATCAGCATTGCTGACGACTCTTCTCACCCCTTACACTCCCTCTTCAGCCTCCTCCCCTCAGGGAAAAGGTACCGGAGCCTGCGGGCTCCACAAGACCGTCCAACAGCTTCATCCGCCAAGCTGTCAGGATGCTGAACTCCGTCCACTACCACCCCCCCCCTGCCCCCTGCCCCTGGACCGTAACAAGAGAGTCACTACTTACCAAGTACCCTACTGTAGCCACTACCATATGAAGTCTCAATATTACTTCTGCTGCTAACTGTCTTGTTACTGGTCTTTTGCTGTTTTTGCACTACCAACTTGTAGGTATTGTACAGATGGTATTTATTTTATATGTTTATACTTTTTTTATTTTTATATTTTATATTGCACTATGAAGAGGTGAGAGAAACAGAATTTCGATTCCCTGTATGTTATAGACATATAGTGAATTGACAATAAAAGGCTATTTGATTTGATTTGATTTGCAGTGACTTTTTTGCAGCCTGAGAGCCTATTTGTTTCATGCTAGAAGTAAACTGTTCTGTATCCTGGCGGTCCCTGGCTTAAAAATGTCCGACTTATGGACACCTCGTACTTACGAACGGACTGCCAAAAAGCCTGTTATATTAAAACTTTGGGTTAAATACAATGGTTTGTGATAAGGTACGCATGCACTACTTTGTGATACTTGTGAAAACATGGCTTCAGCGGTTCCTTGGCTCGAGGTACAGTACAGTACTGTAATTACATTTATTATTACTGAATAATTAGTATTGTTATTATGTATTCTATTAAAGTTTTTCTGACTGACTTGCAAATTCGACTTAAAAACCAACTTGGGGAATACATCTCATTCCTAACCTGGGGACAGCCAAGTTTCTTTCATTACTTTTAAATAGTTCTTTCACTTTCACTTCATAAAGGTGCTTTGTATCTTGCCACTATCTGGGCCACTGGCCACATCCTTCCCAGAGCTGCCCCTACTAAGGCCTGATAGCGGCATTTTCCCACACACTGGTACATGTCTTTTTAAGGGCAGTAAAGTTATATTTTTATCTGCCAGCAGGGGGAGACAGATGAGTGGATTCCTTCATAGCTGGAAGCACATCTGTAAACGGGCAGCACATTAATCAACTTTGTGACAAAAAGTAACAAAACATTACACTTTTACAATTACAGTTATAGTATTATGGAGTATTATGGAGTAAAGTTGTGTTACTGCAATGCTACACATTCTGTGAAATTGCTTATCAATGACTGATGCTGGTTTTATTGAACAATAGTGCCCATCAGTCACGTGTAGACAGTAGCACTTCACACAGGAAGCTTTCAGGTGTGGATGGGTTTATAAAAAGTGTCCCAAAATATAAATGCTATATAATGATTGACATAATGGGGAGGTCTGTGTGGATGGAGCAACAGGAAGAAGCGTGATGTGTGAAAGATATCTAATCACTGGCATTTAAGCGTTTTTTTTTTTTTTTTTTGTTATTTAAGGAAATGTAAGAATTATACAATATTTTGTAATTACTAATCAGATAGGAGAGCTGGGATCTGTCATTTACATTACTAAAGTACATTATTTTCTGTATCAGATCATTCTGATAGTCCCAGAAGAATTTTTATAAATGAAATTTTTAGCGTCGTCTCTCCTCTGATGAAGAACATTCAGAAATGTTATGGAAACGCTCCATAGATGTCTACATTGGTGCATTCCCTGCAAACACTCAGCATGCTCAGAATGTCCATTAGAAGTCTGATGCTCATCTACACAGCCTTAGATGTCACTGCACCTGTAATACACATCCATCTCACCTTTTCCTTGGAGAACAGTTTGTAGGGCTTTCTTCTGGTTCTCTTGTGAGTAGAGCTGATTGGTCCAGGGGCCTGAAGACTTTGACTTGTCCACTGGCTTCAGAGACTGGGTGGAAGTGCCTGCACCAAAGTGGGACAAATCAAGAGGGAGATCAGTCCCTTCCAGGCTTAGAGAGTAGCTTGTCCTCAAGAGTTTCTCCTTAGAAATTTAGAGATGAGATTTGAACCTGCAGTCAGAGATTTGTATCAGCTATCAATGGGACTGATCATGACCAGAGATGGTTGGGTACCTGGGCTCTCCTTGTTTCCCTGCTTCTGTTCCTCCAGCAAGTAGAGAAGCCGCTGTAGAAGAGGAAGGACTCTGTGCTGGACCACGGCCTCTGTCCCCTGTGTCTCTGAGGGGCCTCGGATGTAGGGCAGCCCAAAGTCTTTGTACCAGAAGGAACCAGACAAGACAGCCTAGACAGAAAAGACCAACAAACCACAAGAAAGATAAGAAAAGATCAGATTACCACTAGGTGCACAGTATATTAATAAGGCACAGTATATTAATAAGGCCACACGACTGACAAGATTACTGAAAGATAGACAGCATTACCATGAGGCGAGTAACATTACTGCACGTCTGACAACATTACCGAAAGACAGACAGCATTACTATGAGGTGGGTATTATTACNCTGACAACATTACCGAAAGACAGACAGCATTACTATGAGGTGGGTATTATTACACATCTGACTACAGTACATTACCGAAAGACAGACAGCATTACCATGACGCGAGTAACATTACTGCTACCATCATAAAAAAGCAAACAACTTAGATAGTAGATTGACCACAAGGCAGGGACCATCATCATAAGATAAGTATCATTTCCGTAAGGAAGGTACAGTATTATTTCCAGTGTTGGCAGTAACCTGAGTATTGGCTGAGCATTACCTTTGCTGTGTCCATGCGGAGCTGGCTATGCTCACGAACACAGTGCTGCACAGTGAGGGCCACTTCCAGCTCCACCAGCCTGCTGTTCAGCTGCTCCCACTGTTCCTTCAGCAGCAGGGGGCGCTCCTGGAGGATTGGAGACCGACACCAGAAGGATATAGTGACAGAGACACACTCTTAGACAATCGTGGTAAAATGTTAGACAGTCAACAGTGAAATGTTAATGCATAGTAGCAGAGGTACAAAGTTCTGGTACAGAAAGCAAAAATTCAGACCAAGATTTTGTTTCAACCAACCGAGTATAAAGAATCTGAGTCACAGAGTACTCAAATGGTTGGTATGATGTCCTGTCAATGATAGTGGCAATGCATCCCTCTGCTGGAGCAGTGAGGTACTGCAACCGTATCTCACCATGCTGTGTTGCACCATCCATCTGTCCCGCTCCTGCTGCAGCCTGTCTATAGTCACACTGATCCTCTCCAGTCCGGCTGCCAGCTCCTCCTGCCACCAGACCTGCCTCTCTCGCTGCTGCTCATCATCTGGGAGCCATGGAGAGGACCTTGCCATTTAGGGAGCTCGGTCGACTCATTCTGGTTCAATTTGATTCAGTAATTACAAAGCGAACCAAAGGGACCTTCTGCAATTCAGAAATGACTAAAGATGACACACAAGCTGACACACACACACACACATGCACAGTCCACGTATTCATACCTTTATGGGGACTCTCCATTCATTTCTATGGGCATAACCCTAATCCCAACTATGACAACCTTAACCCCTAACCCAGCCCCAACCCCAACCCTAACCCCTACCCAGCCCTAACCCCAACCCTAACCCCTACCCAGCCATAACCTTAAGCATAAGTAACCAAGCAGAATGCAAGACTTTTGACACTTTTAGTTTTTTCATTGCATTCACAGATTTTTATAAAACTGAGGTTATCCTTGTGGGGACTGGAAAATGTCCCCACGTGGAAGCAAGTTACAGGTGTTTATCACATTATGGGGAAATCTGGTCCCCACAATGTAATAATTACAAAAACACGTGTGCGCACGCGCACACACACACACACACACACACACACCAGCCCTCACATGCACCCCCTGTAAGCAGCCCCGCCCTCACCTTCTGTCAGGATGACAAACACTTGCACCGGCAGCAGAAGGTGGAGGTGTGAGCGTCCCTCAGCACTTCTCTGTGCTTCTGCTTCCTTCTGCTGGTTCATCTCTGCCACAGTGCCCTGAAACTGCCTCTCTCTCTCCCTCCACTGCGCCTGCAGAGATGCAGATACAGCACACACTCCTGAAACTGACTGTGCTCTCATTAGACCCCCACCTTACTGACCACACCATCAGTAGACTCCCACCTTACAGACCACACCATCAATAGACCCCCCACCTTACTGACCACACCATCAGTAGACTCCCATCTTACAGACCACACCATCAATAGACTCCTACCTTACTGATTACATCATCAGTTGACCCAGAGTAGACCACCAGCTTACCCCCATGACCACAGTACATATGCAGCTAGCTGCCCATGCCATCCATGCACACACTACCCCTCACTGAGCACTGTTCTTACAGAGACACTTACCTGACAGTTCTGCACATGCTCCGTGGACTGAGTGGCTGCCTGAAAGCAATGATGTAATGATCTTTCAAGGTCTCTGAGCAGCTCTTCTTCCTGCTGTCTCTGCTGCACCCAGAATGTGCTCCTCAAAGAACACTCTCTTTGCAGAATGTCCATCTGCAGGCAGATATATATAGATACAAACATACCTTATACATATATGGT